GAGTCAGGAAGGACAGGCATATGGACTTATCTTTTTAGTAACAACTTGGGGACTGCACAACCATGTGGTTAGATTGTCTTGACCTCTGATGATACCTTTACCCTAAAAGGGAAAGTTCTGTTTCTGTGGAACAAAGAGCTCCGTTCACATGTCTTCTGGTGCATGCAGCATATTCTTGAAAAGGCAGAACTCAGTTCATGGGACAAAGGAGGTAAAGTGAGTGGTGCCCTGAGGTCCCCACAAGACCAGTGATCTCACAGATGGGCTCTGTGTAGATTGAAGGAACAGATAGAGAAGGACAGAACAAAGTCATTATTGTCTTGCAAGCTCTTTGTTTAGCATCTGCTTGACCCTTGACACAGGTTAGAATACAGAGGGGCTTGGCTCATTCCTTTTTGGGGCTACATACTTCATCTTATTCCATGCAACCCTTAAAGCATTTGTATGAATATTTTGGAGGAGAAAATAGTTGCTTTTCTCCTTCTCCTCCTGCATAAAAGTCAGACATTTGTGGTAAGTATCAGATTTTGTTTGGTGTTGTTTGATTGTGCTGCCCACCTGTTTACAGCATATGCTTTCATCAGGCAGTCCATTGCAATCCTTATCATTTGGTAAATGGTAGAATGACACACCTCATGGATTTACTCTTAAGACTGTGTCTTTAGGGGCACGTGGGTGGCTCAGTCGGTTAAGTGTCTGCCTTTGGCTCAAGTCATGATCCTGGGGTCCTGGGATGGAGTCCTGTGTGGGGCTCTCTGCTCAGCAGGGAGCCTGCTTCTCCCTCTCCCACTCCCCCTGCTTGTGTTTCCTCTCTCGCTGTGTCTCTCTCCGTCAAATAAATAAATAAAACCTTTAAAAAAAAAAAAAAAAAGAATAGAAAACACAATTACACTCAATTACAGGACAGCATGTACCCCACAATGGTAGACTGCCTTTAAAAAAGTTGGATTGTTAACGTCAAAAACATTGTTTCAAGAACAGTGTTTCATGTGTCTCGCTTTTCCAAAGATTTATTTACCCCGTGGGTGGCAAAGAACAGTTTGGGAGTCCAGTGTGTTTCTAGCTGAAAGCCTCCCATCTCTTGTGCTCTCATCACTGTTGCGTTGAGGCACAAAAGACAATCTTGGAGTGACACTTCATCGAACATCAGATGAAGTTGCAGCAAGTAATGATGCTATTTTACATTTTGATATATTGTTACATTGAAGGCTTACAGTGGCATTAGCGGGTTGATATTATCTCCATTTTATTGACGAGGAAACAGGCTCAAAAAGCTCAAAACAGGCTATGTCTGTTGCCTAGGGTCACAGAATAAAGCTGTAAATTGAATCTGGGTCTGTTTGACCCCGAGGCTTAGCTTTTTTCCACCGCATCATGCTGCCATGTTGCCTTATTCCAATACCAGGAAGCATGGGTGGCATCATCCATCTTTTGATGCCAAAAATGTGATAAAGTGATTTTAAAGAGTGAAATGATGCATTGAATTCCCCATAAAGTAGAAAGAACCAGAGCTTTTTAGCCAGAGCTGATTAAATTCGCATTTACCACTTGCTTGCTCTGTGACCTTGAGCAGGGTATTAACCCCTCTGGGTCTGTTTCCACATTTGAAAAATGGGACTCCGACATTTCTTGTAAGCTTGTTTTAGGCATTCTAGAAAAAGAGTACATATAACGAGTCTGATGCTCTGTAAATGCTAATCACCTTCCTCTGCCCACAAATCACTCCTTTGTCCCTATCTTGATACATTTTGTTTTGAAAGTAAAGGAAAACTAAGTTATTTATACATTATATATATTAACAGTTATTCCTTTAGTTCAGCCCTGGAAAGAATGAATCCCTTTTCAGCCTCTACCTCATCTTAAACTCCTCTTCCTTCCCTCTCCTGTGTTCCTAGAGGTCTCGAGGTCCTGGGGCTACTTCCGCTCCCACACTGCTGGTGTTAGGTGTGTCTGGTTGCGTTTTCAGTTGGAGACCCGCTCATCAGTGAGGATTGATGCCTCAAACTCTCTTCTTTCTTCCCAGCTCTTTTTTACTCTGCCCTTTCTCTTTGATACAGTCTTTCCTGTTCTGGACTCTGTGCTTCTTCATACTTCTGGCCTCTTTCCTTCTCCTTGTTCTTTGCCTTTTCCAGGCGTCTTCTCGCACCTTCCCACCTCTCTGGCCTTCACAAAGCATTCTCCATGAACAGTGCTTTCAGCTCTTTCCTTGCTTTGTCTACTGCTGGCTCGTCATCTCTTCCTCTCTTTCTCTTCAGGTCCAGAATTCATGTGGGCCAGTGTGACCTCCATTACCTTTCATCTCTTGTTATCTTCATTTCCTGCTGGGCTTCCAGAGCCAGCCGGACTGCCTGTCACCCTGACTGCATCAGGAGTGCTCCTGGCCAGTGTGAACCCATCACCCTTTCCCCCTGGGGCCACTGTCTCCACTCATTCTTTGGGGACCTGGTTGCCATTCAGGTTCTTATCAGCTGACATCAGTCCTCATTCCAGCAGCAACCAACAGCACACCTTGCCCACTTCTCAGTAAGACATGGGTCTGCCACTGTAGATGTCTAGGTGAAGTAGAAAGTAGGTGTCACTCTCCACCCCCTGATTTTAACGATGACTGATTGTGGAGTTGCAGACAGGGCTGGAGGCTCACAGGTCTGCCCACCTCATCCCTCTCCATCTCCCCTTGGCAAGGACAGGGATCATGTCTTCAGATAGCATCTCGTTTGTTACAGGCTCCTACCTTCAAGGAGCACGGAGAAATATTGTTCCTTTGAACCACAGTACTAGTGTTTTGGGTTCAGTAGCCATTCTGTAGTTTATTGAATTAATGCAAGCTAACCCTATGTGTTTCATAAGCTTAGAGTACTTCCATTGGTCTCAGGAGAAGACTCTGGCTTCCCTGGTACTTGCCACAAAGGGTTCAGGGAGCATAACCCTAAATATTCTGGTTTCTCTTGGGACCACTATACATAATTGTCATCTATGAGTTTATCAACATTTGTTTTGAACTTGTTTAAAATAACCCAGACTCCTAGTAAAGGTAAACCTCCATTTCTAGAAAACTGGAGGCTCGGAGAGCGTAGTGATCTCTCCAAGGCCACATGACTGGAAAATTCTGGAACTGAGGTTTGAACCAGGGTAGCCAGACTCCAGAACCTTATACTGGTTATGCCTACGTATCCCCTCAGCAAGCCCTCACTGTAGTAAAGAAATCCAAGCTATTCTTGCAGAAGAAAGTAGAGCCCTAACATCAGGAAAAAAAGAAAAACCCTAACAACAAAAAACACCTGAGTGTGTGTGTTACCAGCCCTTCCGTAGCAGAGAAATGTTTTAAGGTTTTGTTTGTACGGCCGGACAAGCTTCAGCTGAGTAAAGCCAGGAGTTAGAATCCAGCCTGGTCCCCTCCAGGCCATTGCCCATTTGACAGGGTGAGGGCTGGGAGACCCTCTTGGGGTCCTTTTTAGAAGACTGCCTGGGCCTTGGATGGACGTGCTCGCTTTCTGCTAGTCTTTTTTTTTCTCCTTTGCCTTCTCCACCCACTTCTCAAGCAGCTGATTGCTGTGGTTCCTTTTCATGTTGAACAAAAGCGACTACAGGGATCTTGAAACTTGAGCTGGGGACTGGAGGGTACTGACCGAGAGTAACCCCGGCCGGCTCTGTGGAGGGCTTCCCTCCTCCGCCTTCCTGCTGGCCCTCCCTCCTCCCCGCTGGCCCTCCCTCTCCTCCCCGCTGGCCCTCCCCCTCCTTCCTCGTCCTCTGCTGGGCGGGAGAGGCCGGAAGCCACGTTAAGTGGCCGAGAAAGCATCTTGCCTGGTGCGGGGCCTCTCCTGTGGCCACTGTGGAAGTCTTTCCTTAGCTTGGTCAGTGAGGCCTGGCCCAGAGGATTGGCAAGAGACTGAGGAATCTGCCCTGTTCTTCCTCAGCGCACAGACACACGTTTCACTTGTTTTGTTCTTTAGACTCCAAGATCCTGAATTGGGTGTTTTTTTGGTTTTTGTTTTTTTTCTTCTTCCCTTTGCCCTACCTTTCTACATCCAAAGCAAAGCGTTCGGGAAACGGAGAGGCCACTGTTTGCTCCTCCAGGCGCAACCGAGGAGGCTGAGTTCGTGGGTGGAGTATTTTGGTCCATATTGGAGAGATTGCAGCAGGAACGCTCGCTTGGCCTTTTGCTGGATAGTGAGTCTGAGTCTTCTCCGTGGGCAGTGGGGACTCACATTGAATTTCGCGACCAGTCCAGCTCCGTGATAAGCATGTACACCCTGTCAGTTACCTGTGTAAACTGTCGAGGCCCATCAGCTCTTTTCTTCTGAAAGAGTACTTTCCCAGTCTTGATCTTGGTTTTCACAACAACCTGTGAACGGTATTAGCTCCATTTTACGTGCAAGGAAACCAAAGCCCAGAGAGATTAAGAAAAGGGGAAAAGCAAGGTTCCTGGCTCCACACTTCGCACTAAGAGCAAAGCCAGGACTTGAATTCGGATCTTCTGGTGCTTCCTCTGTGGCAGGCAGTGCTGTGCTTTGAAATGACAAAGTCCTGGCACTTTTTTTTTTTTAAGATTTTAGAATGTGAGCAGGGGGAGCAGAGGGAGAGGGAGATCTCAAGCAGACTCCATGCTGAGCACGGAGCCTGACACGGGGCTCCATCTCACGACCCTGAGATAATGACCTGAGCTGAAACCGAGAGTCAGATGCTTAACCAACTGAGCCCCCCAGACGCCCCTCAAGGCACTTCTCTTCTTCTGGCGAAAAGATGTGTGCCCAGACAACTGTAGCTCCATCCGTGTGCTGCTTGAGGGAAACAGAGGAAGTTATTAGAGCACAAGGACAGCCACCTAACCCATCTTGAGGGTGGGAAAGTCCAGGCAGGCTTCCTGGAGGAGATGACTCATGGGCCAAGTCCTTAAAAAAAAGGGTAGGAATTAGCTAGGCCAAAGGGAAGAAGGGCCGTTTCAGACATCTGACCTTCTCCATATTCTTGGCTTCTCCACTCATTTTCCTGCCAGCTACATAATGGAGAAAACAGAGACCAGAGGTACCAAGCCACCCCACTCTGGCCCCCACTATACTCCTTTCTCCTCCCTCTCCCAGTCTACTCCCCAGATCTTAGGTTTTGAAGAATCTTCTCTATGTTTATCTGCTTGTTGATTTATTTATTCATTGAAAAACACTTACGGGCACCTAGTATTACACAGCACTACAACTACAGGGTGTCCTGGCCCTGCCATGATGAGAGATGCCCCCAGCCACAACCTCAAGAGAATTTTGGCCGTCTGTCCTTTTCCAGAATTTGGCTTCAGCCTGACTCTCCTCCCTCCCCCCAAGCACTTACAGACAAACCTCATCTTGGTCACTTGCATGACCTCATTCCTCATTCCTCCTCCTGCTTTCTTGACGTTTCTTCATCTCCCTTATCAGCCTCGAAAGTTCCTTGAGGGCAAGAACTGTGTCCTTACCTTCTCATTACACTTCATTTCAGTACATTGGTAAAGTTAAGTGAAAGAAACCCTTCTCGATAATCACAAAATTATTACCATTTATGGAGCATTTACCATGAGCCAGTTGTTCACTATTCATGCAGGTGGGGATGTTGTTATTCTTGCCTCTTAGGTGAGAAAAGTTGGTCTCAGGAAGGCAAAGTGCGTTTCTCAAAGCTGCAGTCAATAAACAGCAGAGTCTGACATCAGAGTTAGGTTTTTCTGGCCCCACATCCCTGATTTTTGTACCACTCCACTGTTTCTCAAACTCAGCGTCGGTCGCCTGGGGCGTTGTATAAAATTCTGACACCTGGGTGTCAGCTCCGAAAGTTCTGATTCGATGCTGGGGGTTGTAGCCTGGGCATTGGGGTTGTTGTAACACTACCTATTCGAGTGTCATCCTAGCCAAGGTTGAGAAGCGGTGCATTGCCCCACATTGCCTTTCTCTGTCCGTGCGGGCTCTAGCGGTTGGCGGGGGTGGTGGTGTGGGAACCTAGGTCCACATGTGTGGTACGCATGTGACCAGAATGGGCTTCTTTGTAGCCGGGGATCTTTGACCCGCCCTGCTGCTCCCCCACCCAGCGACCTCTCCACCCTGTGCACGTGCACTCCCCAGGGTTGTTGACTATTGAATCGGCCTCTTGGTTCTTCTGTCTCTTCCAGGGGACTTACTGATAGGCGGTTTGAGTTTGATCACATCCAGCTGTTCTCATCCTCAGAGCCTGTTGACATAACAGAAGAGTCTTATAAACACACCGAGCCTACTGGCTGGTCTCAAGAGTGTTGCTCATGACCTCGACCCACTGCAAGTGCAGCCTGGGTCAGCCCCCCACACTTCAGCAGTCGTGCTCTGGCGTGAAGAGGCTGTTGTGAAGTTCCCTAGCACAGTGTCCACATTCAGTTCTGGCTTTTCACACTTGGGAGGAATTTGTGGTCCATATGGTCAAGGAGGGTCAACTCATGTGTGTATCCTGTTCGATCTGGGGCTCAGAGACGTCTTTATTTTACCCCTTATTTTACAAAGCAAGGCAGTGGAGATACAGCTTGGGTGAAATGTCCTGGCGGATGAATGGATACAGAGCCCAGCTTTTCTCACCCCCATTGTGGTGGTTTTCCCATTGTTCCACAATGGTCAGTGTCAGGCTTCGATTGAAGCCACTAGCTTTCCTACCTTCCTTCTTGGAAGCTACGGTTGGGGTAAACACCTGGATGTTACTTTGTGTCCCTGGGAATATAATATAGGGATCCTGTTTGCTCCTGGGGTGTAGCCCGGGAGTTGTCCTGATATCTCTGGGCCCTTCTTGGACCTACTCAACTGAAAGAAAATCTGTGATAGTGCTGAGATACTTCTCAAATCTTCCCAGCCCTAATCTCACCTCCTAGTATTTATGATCTAGCCATCATTCTTTGTAATGACCAGTAATTCTTTGCAAGGCTTTGATCTGGGCACAGGGATACAGAGATAAAACACATATCCTGGGGGCACCTGGCTGGCTCAGTTGGTAGAGCAGGTGGCTCTTGATCTCGGGGTTGTGAGTTCAAGCCCCAGGTTGGGGGTAGATCTTGCTCAAAAAACCCCCCACACACATATTCTGTATCCTAGGGGCGTAGTCTAGTGGAGAGAATATGCAAATAAAAAAACATTCCTTAAAGTATGGTCCTTGCATTGGGAGCACAAGGAATGCTTATTAAAATGTAGATTCTTAAGCCCCACTCTTGATCCGCTATTTCAGAATCTCTGGGAATTGGGCCCAAGAAACTGCATTTTAGTGTGCTCCCTAAGTGAATCTTAGGTGCTCGGAGGTTTGGCAACTATAGGAGTGAGCCCTGCAGTAAGAGTATAGTGTCCTATATGATGGGGAGCACCAGGCTGGCATTCGTCTGCAGGAGGACCTCTTCTGAGGAGGGACACCTAACTGGGCAAGGAACAGCTTCTGGAAGGTGTCATGAGGAATAACCAGGTGTTAGCATGTCAGGTGTAACCAGACAGTCATTTCTCTAGAGATGTGAATCATGTTTGATTTATCCTTTCTATAGCTCTAAATTATTCAAGTTTGCTTAAGAACATACCTGGATCGGGCAGCAAAGATGAGAGTCTGGTTGGGTGTTTGTGACTTCCTTCTGCTTTATCTCTGCACATGAGCCCCCTTCGCTCCCAGGATTAACTCCCGTCCTCTTCTAAGCCTCACACTAGCCCCGTTTCAGATCAAACTTCTTTTCCGCATCAGTTAAATGATTGGGTTTGCAAGGTTTGCCCCCTAGAGGTCTGTTAGTGCCTGGGCCTGTGGGCTGCAGTTGGCAAATGAGCGTTGCCTAGGCACGTGGTCATGGTGAGCTGGTTTTCTCTTTATTGAAAGAAGTTGGGTTATTAAGACGGTGGGGCAGAAGGAGCAGTGGACGGTCAAATGAAATAGGACAGGGAAAACGGTAGCATTTCAGAGTCAGGGGGCCCCCACCCAACATCTGGTAAGAAATCTCTCATTTTGGAGATAAAGAAGCTGAGGTTCAGAAAGATGATATGAAATGCCCAAATGATACCACCAGGCACAGCATCCAACTCCGGGGACTAAAATTCTGGATTTCTGGTCAGTGCTTTTTCTGCTTCACTACACTGGAATGTACCTAGAGGCTTTATTATTAAAGGGATTCTTTATGAAACCCTGAAGCAATCCAGTCATTTAGTAGGGTTGATTTTTAAATATACGCTTTTGTTTTCTTACAGTCTAGCAGACCTGGGTTTTGGAGCTCTGTCTCATGTGTTCCAGGGTTGGAATTAGAATGAGATCACATCTGTGAGAGTGCTTTGATAGGCGTAATGCTTTCCCCCAAGTGGTTCTCCAAGTGCGGGGCCCAGACCAGCAGCAGCTGCATCACCTGGGAGCTCGTTGGAAATGTGAATTCTCTGGCCTCGTCCCAGGCTGGCTGAATCAGAAACTTTGGGGGTGGAGACTGGAAATCTGTTTTTTTTTTTTTTTTTAATTTATTTGTTTGACAGAGAGAGACACAGTGAGAGAGGGAACACAAGCAGGGGGAGTGGGAGAGGGAGAAGCTGGCTTCCTGCAGAGCAGGGAGCCCGATGCAGGGCTCGATCCCAGGACCCTGGGATCATGACCTGAGCCGAAGGCAGACGCTTAACGACTGAGCCATCCAGGTGCCCCCTGGAAATCTGTTTTAACAAGCCTTCAGGTGATTCTGTTGTCCACTCAAGTTTGAGAACCACTGTTCTGCGTCAAGAGGAGATCAGCCTCCCGGGGCCTGTGGGACTAAGGCTTTAAATATCTCCCGATTTGTAGCTGAGGTGGCATTTGGGAGACAGGAGTAGTGGGGTTAGGTTCACAAATCTCAGATAGGATGGGTGAGATCACTTAAAAGGTTTGGCTTTTTCCTCGAAAATAAGGAAAGGCTGTGTGTGAGCGTGTCACACTGTTTGAGTCTAGGAGCACACTCGGAGTTTGGTTCTATCTTCAGAAAGCATTCTTTTCATCTCTCCTGTAAGGCAGAGCTCCCTGAACATCATTTCTCTGTATGCTTCAGCCAGAAGCCTGTGGTTATCAGTTGGTTTAAAACTAGGCCATTAATATTAAGATGTTTTTCTCCACCTCCCATCGTCTTTTTTTTTTTTTTTAACTTATATGAAAATAAGATACTATTTCTTTGCAGGCTTGAAGCTTCAGGATTTCCTAGTGGACAATGAAACCTTCTCTGAATTCCTGACTTACAACCTTTCTCTGCCGAGGCTTACTGTGGACAAAATGCTGGGAGCCAATGTCAGTCTCCACAAGGTAAGCTGCGGATGTTCAGCTTCCTCGGTGGGGCTGATGGCAGTTATATTGTTTAAGAGTGCCTGGAAAGAAATGAATAAACCCCTATCTTGGTAATGGTGCTGAAGGAGGTTATTAGCTCAAGTTCAGCGTTACCCATTTTTACTTCTCTGCTCAGGTTGGCATTGCCAAACCATCCAGAGTGGAATGTGCAACCTGGCACATGAGCCAGCTGGTTGAAATAAAACTGATTTCCTGCCTGTCAGCTGGCATTTGTGGATAACTTCCCCCTAAAAGGGGGTCGGGGGGATGAATTTAAGATGAATTAAACATTTTAAAAAAATGTTCACAGTTCTGAGACCATAGCCAGAGTTGAGGATTATTGAACAGAGCAGCTGTCTATAAAATCTAAGACAGGAGATTTTAAAACTTAATGCTTCCTTTAAAGATGGATAAGAAAAATAAGGAGAAAACCAGGAAGTAATATTAGTGTTTATATAGAATTTTAATCTTAGATTCTTAGAAAACTTCCTTTGGCATAATTAGATCTCCTAGAGCTCCTGTGCGGTGAGCAACAGACCCGGGTTGTATGGTTATCGATTTTCAGGGAAGCTTCCCAAGTTTATTCTTTGGCAGAAAGAGGCCCTGCTTCTTTACCCTGTCTCACATCTACACACTAGCTTATCTTTACAATAAGCAGAAGTAGTGGAAAGGTTTATGCCCGAAAGTAAGATCTTTGCTTTACATGATGTAGAATTTTTAAAATTAGAAAAATGTGCTTACCGTTTGTCCTTGTGAAACTAGGAAAATATGCCTTGTGTTTACCAGTTGTATGGTTGGGAGATGGGCCAAAGGCAGCAGGCTTATGAAAACAGTTGCATTTAGCACAATTTCCATTCCCCCCTGCCAATTTCATATCTGTCGCATCAGATCAGTTTAAAATAAGGGGCATCCTGAGTGTGGAGGTGGTCCTTGCATGGTATTAGGGTCTCTCTGTAACCAGTGCTCTCAAACCCAGATACCGAAGGTAGGTTGACAGCAAGGACTACTTGGAGAAAGGGGTAAGACGGAAGGCACTTGCATGTCTGGTAGGTGAGAACTTCATGGAAACCATGGCAGGCTGAGGGCTCTGCAATGTTAGAAAGCTCCATAGGCCTGGAGAGCTTTCGGTCCATCACTCATGCTAGGTTGTTCTACAGGCAGGTCAAGCTGCACTAATTTAACTAGCAGGGGGAGGTAATAGTGGGATAATACAGAATCTGCATCATTCATTCATCCCACAAATATTTACTGTCAGTAATGTTTCAGCATTATCCCACAAAGTGAGCAAGAAAAGCAAGCCCCTCTTACTGAATTTGCTGTCTCATGGATAGTAAGGACCATCTATGAAGAAGTACAGTTTATTTAGGCCCAGGAAAGTTAATTAAGTATACAAAATATGGCCAAGGAAAGGCTCTCTATAGGTTTGCTATAATGAGTGCATAAGAATGACTTAGAATTGGCCTTCAAAGAGGCCTTTTCATAAGAGGCTTGGCTTTCTGGTACTCTGCTTGGGGGCAAATAAAATGAAGAGTTCCAGATTCTGAAATTGCTTCAACGTAGTTTTCTGCATCCATGAAATATCTATACCTGTAAGTAAATAGTATGAATGCTTTTTTTTTTCATAATTCAGCCCAACCCCAGTTTAACGTAAGTTCCAAAATAATGAGAATGTTTTTCTCTAATAAAATAATAAAAATGGTTTCAGAAGTTTAGACTTTCAATTCCTATTTTCTGAATCGTGTCCCACTTTTGAGAAAAAGTGTTGGACTAAGGATTTCCCTTCACAAGGACAAGAGTGTGGGAGATGATGAGTCAAAGACAACATTCAGACTTTAAGTTTCCTGTTAGACTGTGCCTTGTTATGTTCTGAAGGTCGGTAAAGAGATCTGATGCATTGGACTATTGCGACGGTGTCCATTCTTCAAAGCTGTACTGACCCAACTTTGCATCTTTGTAACCTGGTTTTGCTTGTCTCTCTTTGCATGAAATGCTTCCAGGTATTTTTGCAAGGCTACCACTTACATTTGACCAATCTGTGCAGTGGATCCAAATTACAGGAGGTGATTCAACTTGGTGAACTAGAAGTTTCCACGCTTTGCAGCTTGCCAAGGGAGAAACTGGATGCCGCTGAGCAAGTGCTTCGTTCCAACATGGACATCTTGAAGCCGATCCTGGTGAGTAGGCTTGCCGTGTGGAGAAGCTTCAAGCACTTATGCTTTTGGAATGTGAACATTTTCCCTGGACAACATAACTTTGTTTTTTGTAGAAACATAGGGCTGGCCGGGAGTTGGAGCGGTAATTTAGCTCAGTGGTATCCTGTTCTTTCAAACCTTTGGGCTTTTTTCCAAAGGGTAAAAGGGGGAAGAATGAGTTGGGTATAGCTCTGAGTCTAAGCCTAACGTCCTCTGTGTTTGTTTCAGAGAAGACCTGTTTTTTATGGTTTTTTTTTTTTTTTAAATGTCCACATTTGAGATTATTAGAGTTCATTTGAAGAAGGAGTTCCCCAGATTAAAAAAAAAAGTCTCAAAATCATTTCTGGGAAGATGGATATCCATTCTTGAAAGCATCTCAGCAAGGAGACACTGTAAGCCGTCATGGTGGGAAAACCTTAGAACTGGATGGGAGCACACACAATAATTAGATTAATCCTTGACAAAATTGCATTTACAGAAAAAAAATTGCAACAAAGTTTGATCAGCCTGGGAATCAATAGTTCAGAGAAGCGATCCCAGAGTATATTATGTTCATTCTTAAAGAATATGGATGAACTTGGTCATCAGAGGGTTGGGTATAGTTCCAGAACGGGTGTATTTCTTTGGATTTTCTGGGAGCTGTGGTGACATACCTCTCCAACAACATCATTTAGCATCTGGTGATCTGGCCTCCTACTCACCAGATAGCACTCTGATTTGTTAGTAGGTTCTCTTAAAACCAGGGAAAGAGCCTTGGAAGAAGGATGTGCCTGGAAAGAGATATTCCTCATTATAATAAAAAGAAATCAGAATCCTCTCTGGGGCTTTGTGTAGCATGATTTCTTTCTAGAGAGATTCATTATCCCAGGGGTACTAAGAAGGTCCAGTTTCTGGACGCAGTGCCTGGATCACACCCTAGAAAGTGATCTTGGAAACATCTCCTGCGGTTTATACACTAGTGACCATCAAGAAGTTCCTGTATCCTACTTGACTCTATGATGGTGCAGGCTTCTGCCCGAGATGAAGGTAGTAGGAAAACTGTGTGAGTTCTTGGGGATTTTGGTTGATGGTGAACCAGTCAGTATAAAGGGCTTAGGCCTAATGCTTAAGATCTGTTTTTGTTTTATTCCAGAAGTAGTAAAATACTCAGTAAAAAAAATACTGAGTTGCTTTGTTCAGTGGTCTGTGATTCTATTGAATTTCTATAGTATAATTTCAAATAAGATATATATTTCTGAATTGGGATGATGTTTGCAGTTCCAGAAAACTGGTCCAAGTGGCTGCCTAAGCTCATTGGTGTAGACATATATAGCCTGTTGGCATTTTTTGGGTTGTGTGACATAGAGGGCCAAAGGTTATTAGAAATGGTAGACCATTTCCTTGTACCGTTTTAGCTATTTTGCTCTATTTCACTACAAGACAAAAATGTTCACCCTTTCAGCTAGAATGATGCAAATTTCGGAAATATGGGTGCTTTTAGAAGACAAAATAATTTATATTGGTGCCCATTCATTGTTTCATTTCTGTTTAATGATTAGACACTTACAGTGTGCACAACCCAGAAAATCCCTCCACTCACATAATGTCTGGATTCCACTCCAAGTAGAATGACAGTATGGCCTTCATGATCTGACAGTCAGCAGCTTAGGTTTCAACCTAATAATCATCCCTCCGTGGTTGGGAGGGTTAGCATGATAGGGTACGTGGAAATGCACCATCAAAACTGTCAGCTACATCGCAGTCTGTCCTGTTGTGGTGGTCCCTTGTAGATCAGTTGGTTCTTGGCTGGGTATTAAGGTGGCTACCATATGCTTTTTGCACATTTCTTGGCCACAGAGAGCATCTCAGGTTCTGCTCCTGCCTATTCGCTGTTGCTGAGAGCTCTCTCTCTCCATAAAGTCAGAAAATGAGGCTCTTAAATTAGAATACAGTGAGTGGTCAAAATTGTTCTGTGTAAAGGTGATTTTGAAGGATACCTTTGGGGATGAAATGACTTTGGGATGAAATGACTTCCAAACATTTTGAAACGTGACTTTTATTTACCGAGTTAAACAGGACCTTAATTGGAGCACTGGAATTGATATTTGATTTACATTAAGCAGCCTGTTACTCCTGCCATTTGGTTGACATTTCAACATTTTCAGTGGTAGATGAATGTGACCTGTGACGTCCTTGGCAATGGGCAGTTAATCACACTGAGAAACACGACAGGAGCAGCAACCAGATGTCAGGTGCAGCGTCGTGGGCAGAAAAACTGGGGTGTCAGTGTGTGTTTCTGTACCAGAAGTGGGTTTTCAGGAAAGACATGTTTTGAAACCTTTCTCCTTTTTTTTTTTTTTTTGTTAGCGTGAATGTTTTTCTATTTTTCAGCCAAGGGTATTCTCTGTCTCCTGATGACCCCTGGACAACAGTGTTTTGACAACACGGGGGGAAATGTGGCAGAGGGGAAGGGCTGTGGCTTGGGGTTAGCTGCGTCTGGGTTCAAATGTTACATCAGAAGTTTTACCAGCTGTGGGACCTTGGATAACTTGAGCATGAGTCAGCCTCAGTTTCTTCTTCTTTTACATGCAGATAATATACTTCACCCTTTGTCATTATTGGTCATGCCTATGAAGAGCGTGACAAGGGGCCTGGCATACATCAGGTGTTCAATAAATAGAAGTTAATCATTGATAGAAATATTTTCATGCTGAGAGCAATTGCTGGGAAGATAGAAATTCTCTTCTGAGTTAGGAATCAGTCATGCCAAGCAAAGTAGCCCTGAAGAATATTTCAGCGAAAAATTTTATTCTTTGCCTAGATGCTGTCAAGGCTTCTTACTCTGTAGATTCTTATTTATGTATAGACCTCAATTATGTATACCTTACGTGAAAATTAATACTGGATTTCAGAATGGTATTGCATCCTTAAAGTTCTCTGGGGTTAATAAAGTGGCTTCCATTCGGCATTCTCCTTTCAATTTAAAAACATATTCATTTATTGAACTATGTTTTTTTTTCCCCCCATCACCGAACTG